CAGCAGGAGCGACGTATCTTACTGGTATCTGGGCCAGATGACCTTTTCCTAAGGTTGCAAAAGTGGGTCATCCAGAACAAAGAACCATCAAGGTCTGGCTACACTAAAGGTACAATTCTTAAGACCATCCTAAAAGGTAATCTTTAAGATTATCCTTGAAAGTTATTAAAATTTAAATTTTCAGAAAGAAGAGCAGCTTAGTAAAACCATTATATCAGAATTTTTGAGCCCTCCCTGTGAATTTTCATTGGCTTTATCTTAATCCAGCCTTGATGTGACACAGCAAAAAAATGAAGGCCACCAAAAGTCATCTGCTGCAATATATATTTTAATTCAAAGTGAATCTCGACAGTAATACACCATAAATTCTTATTTTGACACTCACCAAAATAGTCACCTGGAAAACCCGCTTTTTGTGACAAAGTACAGAAGGCTTGGTCACATTTAAATCACTGAGAACTAGAAAGAAATACTATCGCAAACTGTAAGAGACATTACATCCATAAAAAATTTTCCCAGTCCTCATATTGAATATTGCACAGTGCAATTGCTACATGGCGAACTAGTGTAGCATAGAAATCCAAAGCAAAAAAAAGCCACAAGTCTACAAATTGTTAAACAGTAACAGTTCAAACTTATTAATCAAGTCTCTATCACTGGGTATTTCTAGAACAAGTCTTCCTACAGCTTGCAGTGTGATTTAACTTTTACTTAACACAAACCAAGCTAATTAGCAGTAAAACCAGAAAATTTAAAAATTAAAACCAAAAAAAGTTAATACAGTAGCATATTTGACCAATAAAACACCCTGAAGTTAAAAACTGAACACAAGAAATTCATATAAAATCTTGCAAATTAAAGTAATATGCAGATATGCAATTCTGTAGTCATGCAGTGTTTTATTTAAAAAAGGCATTAAAACGGTAACATGTATAAACGCTTCTCAGAGGAGGACTTTTTTCACAGAAAAGGCCCTCGCCCTGAAAGCTGTTTTTTCTGCAGATGGGTCCCGGACACTTGCAGTGACAAGAGTCCGTTCTCTCAGAGTGTATTGCAGGATGGGGGAAAAGTCACCCGGTATATTGAATTTAAGCTGTGGCAGGTTCCCAAATATTTTGTTCTTTGAAATGCAAACATTTCTAGAATTACAACACATAGAAAGAGCAGCAGATCTAATTTGGGGCGCATTTACAGCAACTTTTCCTGCATACAATAGGATACCGTTGTGATATACAGATAATTGTGTCAATTTAACAAGCACGTTAGCTTAAAACCTTAAGCACAGTAAAAAGAAAGTACAGTAAATACATTAGACCAATGAAGATCCCCATGGCCCCAGGAAAAAAATGCAGTATTTTTTTGTTATCACGATACAAAATTCATTTACTCCGTTTGCATTGGTGATTCTTGGTGTGTCCATTGCCTGCAATGGAGTAAGCACCAAAAAAAACATTGCTTCCCAACACAAGGGAGTGAACAGAAAACTATCCGCTGGACCATATAGCACAAGTTTGAAGTGGCAAGGTGGATATCCAATTTGAGCATTTTCTTGACTCCTTATATTTAGGCTTTATATATGTGTTGATAAGATTTCAAATTCATCAGGATACTCCCTAGTTTCTAATGTATACTTTATATACACACACTTGTACAAAATGCATAGAGTTGATTACTAAAAACACTGAAACTTTTGGGAAAAGTTAGGTTTCTTAATTTTCAGTGTGATTAAAACTGTACTGCTGGTATTTTTCTTATTTTTTTTATGATCTAATACTGTTGTATTTTAGTTATTACTTAAAAATAAATCAAATGTAGGCACATTTATTTCATTCAGACATTCATTAAATAAAACACTGCTTGTGTTAGTGGAGTAAAGAAAAAGATTACCAGTTATTAGCTTATTGACAGAGTTAAAACTCAAAAACTTTGCACTCTTATTCCAGTCAACATTGCAAGGATTGTATTCCAGATTTTGCTTTAAAAAAAAGTTAAGTCAAGCCTGCAAGATGCAGCTTCTTAAGTGTCTACACAATGCCAATATGAAAACATAAAAAAATTAAGTTACATCAATACATCCACTTATATGCAGTGATGAGCTCAAAGTTAATGGAGATAAAATACTGATGCAAATAACACACCCCAAAGAAACATATGCAATCATCTTCCATCATTTACAGTATAGCAGTTACGACACTTCAAACATGAAAACAAAATAAAATAATAATAAAAAAAAAAACAAACCCAAAACCCGGCTTCTATTTCATGTAATTAGACTTGTACAGAAATTAGAAGGCTAAGAAAGAACTAGTTAATCACCTAATTTCACAGCTATCTGAAGTGGCAATCATTATATAGCAGCTTATCTATGATACATTCAAGATAAATGATACAATTTATTACTTGCCCATAAGCTAAAACACAGCCTCAGCTTAATACCTTCTGAAAATCCCATCTCTACACTACAGTATACTTGAGGTCTATGAAAAAGTAGCTACCTTTTATAGGAAATGGATGATTAAGTCTTTGGTGCCGCAAAAGCAACTTCATTTGAACAAAACAAAACAAAAAAAAAAAACAAAAACGAAAAAGACACACTTCCTAAGGAAAAAAAAATATGCAAAAAGCATGTAATTTACGTCCCTGACGGAATGTATTAAATAAGCAAACACCCGCAACAGGCTAAAACAAATACTATAATGTAAAAAGACTAAAATCTCTCCCATGCATAAATGAAAGATTGCACACAAAGAACTCACATCTTTTCAAGCTTCAATAGTAAATATTCTGCTACTAGTTATTAAATACTGCATGGTTTGCTCAAGCTAAGATGAAACCACATCATGGATCAATGAGCACTTGGTTTTTTCTTTCATTAGCTAGTCAGTCATGCCTACTGCACCTCTAAACATTTTATTATATCCAATTAGACAAACACTTGTAAAATAAACTACTTAGGTTGTATTGCAGTTCCATTTACCAGTATGAAATACTGTGTTGTGTGTCACTACTCAATAGCTACTGAATCAACTTCTTAAGCACTATTAAAGTTTTGTCTTGAAGCTAGATCATTCTGGGGAAAAAAAAAAAAAAAGACAGCAGAATTCAGCTACAGCAAAACATGCTGCCTTCTCGATAAGGAAAACACACCCAATACTAAAATCATACCACACAAAACCCAAAATGAGCATTACACTATCAAAAAATCAGCAGATCTGAATTTTTAAGTGCTGCAGTCCTCAACATTTATATATAAGTAGTAACATTAACAACCTCAAATATTTAAGGCACTATGTGTGGGAACAGTTTACAATGCAGCTGAGATTATTAGGACAACAACATTTAAGAGCAATGTTTAGGCTTTTTTTTTTTTTTTGCCCATGCAAAAGACACATGCAATGTGAAGAACAACAGCTCAACTTTTAGATAAGTGACCCAACATTTAAACACCAAGACACGCAATACAAACAAGTTACTTCTACACTGTACTGCTGACATATGTGCATCTGCTGCTTTAGTTCTGTACACTGAATGGCTTCCCAAATGTAGACGTGTCTTGCACTAGTTAGAAGGCAATTTTATAAAAAATAGTAGGAGCAAAACCAGATTTTCTGCTCCCATAAGTCACCTGTCTAAAGTTACTATATAAGAAGATAACATGACCAAAGACAAGTTATACCAAATGTGCAAAACACATTAAAAGTGAGTTTTTTTAAAGCTCGGAGTTGTTTAAATTGCACCCAAGTCTACATGATTCAAAAAAATAATTTTCCTGTTGTGCCATGGCTAATATTTAATAAATACCATGTTTCTTCTTAAATCAAACTTCTGTATCATTGATCTTCCTCAATATACTGCATTTGAGTTCTCACATAAACGGATACTGGCTGAGTTTTGTTGGACTCAATGGAAATCCTGTGTAAGCAGGTGATGCTGCAATGTACGAATGCGGTGGGAAAATTGGTTTGTATTGAGTCTGATGAATGGTTGGGGAAGGTAAGAGACGGGGGTTTATGCCAACCGGAACCTGGTGTACTATACCACCGGGATGAGATATATTGTACGTTGGATGTTGCAACAAAGGTCTTGAGGTACATGGCGAGGCAAGGAGGTGGGCAACAGGTGCAGCAGTACTAAGGGGTGCTGACGACGGGTACGAAAGAATAGCAGGCTGTCCTCCAAGGTGGGTACTTCCAGAGAGATGCGCGTGCACGGTAGTGTGATTTGGGCTTCCTTGAGGAAGGGAGAAAGCGTGACCGGCAACACTGGCTGGGATGTAAGCCTGCTGCCTCCGATGACCATAGTTCCCGTTCCATTCCTGCGGCCCAGATCCAAAGTGCTGAACCTGTCCACACAGAGAAACAGGCAGGTCTTAATATTTCCAAATATGGATGAGTGTGAAAAATGGAATAATGCACTAAAACTAATCAACTTAAAATCAAGAGAAATATAGAGACAGGAATAATTAAATGCTTAAACAAAAAAAAATATTAGCTATTTAGATAGTAGCACAGACAGGAAATCTGACAATAAGAGATGGTAAACAGAACACAAGTTATTTTAATGCTCTTGCAAACAAAAAAAAAAAAGAAAGATAAAATGCCATGCTGGGCTGTTTTAACAGAAATACCATGTATCACATGAGCAAGGTGCTTATTCCACTCTACTCAGCACTGGCTTGGCATCAATTGGAAGTGCTGCATTCAGTTTGGGCACCATAATGAGGCACAAAGAGGACAAATAGGAGAGAAATTTTAGAGGAGAGCAGAAAAAATAATAAACGGATTGAAAATATTTGAGACAACTAGGTAAACAGAAGTCTAGGGCTTTGATCACAGGAAGATGTGGCAATCATTAACAGTTCTAAAGAGAAAGACTAAAAATCAATTACTCTCATTAAATGATGCAGACTTCAGACTACATAGGGCATCTACCAAAGAAGGATCAGCTTAAATTTTTGTAATGAAAATAATGTTCTACACTTTCTGCCAAGAGGCTGAGGAGCTGCAGTCATTGAAGAGATTAAAAATTAATATTATGCTGATCATATTAAGGTTTGCTTAGAATTAATTAAACCAATCCTTCTGCATAACCATACAGAAGGGGAGATTGTGTCACCCACCCAAATGTTTCTTTCAATCTAAACTATTCAAGTCATTATTACTAAATCCTCTTATCTACATATAGCACACTTGCATTTAATATTTAACCTACAATTTAATATTCACAGTTACTCTGGAAGACTTACACAAACAGGTGCTGCTCTTAAATTAAACGTACCTCCCTCCAGATATCTAACCAAAGCTCAACGCAGCTACAGCTCAATTAAAATAATAAAAAGGGCTTAGACTTGATGTCATGTGTCAACTTCAGTTCTCAGCCACAGTAGACACATTTACTATGTTGTTGGGTAACTATAAAAGTAGCTTTTAAATTAACTTTGGGTATCTTCCAACATCAGATTGAACTCAAGCACAACCTCTTCCCCCTCCAGCCTCACTATCTGGCAGCAAAGGTAAGAAACAGTTGGGTTTGCTAAGCTCTGTCTCATCTCTGGACACTCAAACTACAAGCATTTTCACACACACTATTAACAGAACGAGACTGAAATAGAGCTGCAGTTTTTAACTGCACGCTATGAGCACTTTAGCATTTGGATGTAAGAAAAAAAAAACCTAACATTTTTCATTTTGTCTCCTGCTTTGATTTTGTGTAGGCATTGATAACTCTCCCAGTGTGGCTTTTCTATCATTTTAAAAAATAAAGTCAGTTGCTTTAAGAAAATGACCAAAAAGTGAAAGATACTTATGACTTGCCCAGTAAGCTGAAATCCTTTTCTCAAGATTTGAACATTTCTCTAATAAAGCTGATGAAAACCTGCAATTGCCATTGACAGCAACTGAAATTGTGAGCATTCGGCATGTTTGGAACTTCAAGACAGAAAAAGTACTTCTTAGACATGAGTAAGCACACATACCTGACTGAAGTTTATATGTTGCTGATGGAATGCTGATGTCAGTTTTTGCTGACGGTTTCCTGCAACAGAAGATTGGTTTATTCTTCCCAGGACAGATCGACCCTTTTTCAGTGGCTGGCACGTGGCATCTTCCAAGACATAAATGAACAATGTTATGGTTTTGTTGTCGCTATTCTCTCTAACAAGAGTTAGACAGTTTCATTTGCCTCAGCATATGGAGAGAAACAGTCAAGTAATATGCTAATTAAAGTCAAAAACCAACACAGTTTAGAAGTGTTTATTACAGAAGCAGATATATGAGCAGGTCAACATAAACACGTGTATGGCTATAGTATAAATATTCAAATTTCTATTCTAAGCTACTGGCATAGAAAGAAAACCACAACTGAACTAACTTACCTGTATTAACCATCTGTTCATCGAGATGTAACCTGTTTTCAAGTCTCATTGGTGGTACCACTACCGTGCAAACAGCTGATTTGGTTTCAGGACTAACCGATGCTCTTGCTTCCTTATTTTTATTGGTATTAGCTACAAAGCCATTTTCCACAAATGGGCTGTCGTGTCCTGAAGAGTCTGAAGTTGGGGAACCATCCACTGTATCACATCCACTCTCCTGTTCGTCATCTGACATACTATCAAAAAATAAAAGTATTGCATTGAAACAAATACATATTCATAACGTAGATGTATTTTATTAAATTACCACATAAAATTTACGGAAGTGAAGGCTGCTCAAAGGTGGATAAAAACGTTACATTTTAACTATAAGAGCATAGATATGCAGATGGGCAGTTCGATATTCGAACTCATTCCACCCACAAATTGCAAGGCTCAGAGAAAGGAGGTAACTTCCGTAAAAAGACTTAGATGTGTAACCCAACTTGTACCCACTTTATAATTTATTTTTTAAATAATCTAGCACTTATAAACCACCTGAAATTTATATTTTTAGGTCAAATAAAAGGTTGAAGAACATAATTTAGTTTCGTCCTGAATCAAAACATGGAGGTCTCCTGACAGTTATTACACTAGCGAATGAGAACATACTGATCTAATTTCCTTACAGAAATCAGCCGCATCCGGGAGTCTGTGAAAAGCCGTCCCTGGGGCCCATGAGAGTCAGGATGGGACAGACAGCACTGCAGAAGCAACCTGCACAGTGGCAGGCAGCTCCCTCTCATCCGCACATCCACCACCAGCAGCTACACTAGACCTTATCTACTGAAAAATTAGGTCTTTCTGAAGCTCCTGCAGAGAGCACTGCTTGTGCATGACTGACGTTCTTCTTCCACAGATTTAGATTAAGGAGACAAACACAACCCTCTATTTACACAACAGCGATTTTGGCACTCGTGGTCCATGAAATCCATGCTGGTCAAGTGGTAGAAACTCATTTATTCAACCACTGTTTTTACCAAAGTAACTGGAAGGAGAAACAGGCGGAGAAACTTTCTTAAGGAAGAAATTTTTTACATTGAGGGCGGTGAGGCACTGGAACAGGTTGCCCAGAGAAGTTGTGGATGCCCCATGCCTGGAAGTGTTCAAAGCCAGGCTGGATGAGGCTTTGAGCAACCTGGTGTTGGTTGCTCAACCACACCAGGGAGGGTGTCCCTGCCTATGCCACGGGGGTTGGAACTAGATAATCTTTGAGGTCCCTTCCAACCCTAACCATTCTATGATTCTATGAATGCTAATGAAGGCAGAATCTGACACACTCACTCCTCTGCTATTGACATAAAGTTCCATTACTGAGGGGAACAGAATTACAGGTCAGTTCCTTGCAATTCAGAGAAAACAATGTAAAATCAAGCAGGTCTTTATAAAACACTTTCCTGAAGTTTTCTATGTTTTGATATTAAAGAATATCATAAGCAGAAGTGACAGCTTTAATTACCAACCAGTAAGATACCTGACATCTCCTAGTATAAGACATGTTCTGTTACCTAAATCTTTACTAAAATTTAACCGTTTGAATGGAAATTCTTCAAATACTTCTAGTTATTCTCTTGTTTTACAGTCAGAAATGACAAATTCTTGAAAATAGGCCCAGGAAAACATACCTGGTTTAGTCCATCTATACAACTCTGGCAACTCTTTATATTAATATCTCCAAAGCCCCAGAAATGGCAGAAATTTTGGGGGGATTATCTTCTACATCAGGTCACCCTAAAAAAATGAAAAATCTATCCATGTGCTCCATTACTACACTTTTGTCACTGAATCTAGCAGTTGTGCCTGCAGAATGAGTTGGATCAGTTTAGTAATCTAACAGAAAACTAATCCACCCAAAAATGGATGTGACTGGATTAAGTGTCATCTTGAGTAAACAAAACCTTTTCCTAGTCTTAGCACTCACCAGACTATACATGTCACCTCCTTAGAACACGTCTTCCCAGCCCTGGACAGTACAGAGAATAACAATCCACTACACCTTTCACTGCAGTCAGTGTCCAATACTGCAGAGATTTGTTCAAAGATTTTAGGCCTTACAGAATAAACCAAACAGATGACAAAGTTGTTCATGCATAAATCTCCCTCTGCCTCTTCTTTGCTTTTTTACTGTTGTTTGTTTTTTGTTTGGTTGGTTTGTTGGTTTTTGGGGGGATTTTTTGTTTGGTTGGTTGTTTGGGTTTTTTTAGAGAAGAAAGTCATGTTTATATAAAACAGAAACATTTATGTATATAAATGATCCATTAAAAGCATCATTAAGTCAGGTTGCTCAAAATTTAAAACAAATAAAACTGCCTCTACAGACTAGCAGTTCCTTTTCATTGTCAATACATGCTGTGATAGACTTTAATTATCTTAAAGAAACATTTTTTTCGTTAAGACTCCGATTTCAGTCATTTTGCACAACAAAACTGTTCTGAGTTTGAATCATTCTTTTCTACATATCAAACTATTTTATAGAAAATAAGATGTGAACTGTAGAATAAAATTTAAAGAATTGGTTATGCTTATGGCAGCCACAGGTTGCTAAAAAAAAATAAATAATTGTATCCCGAGATCACAGAATTTCTATGGGATACTGAGTAAATAATATCAAATCAAACGTTTCACCAATACCAGTAACTATATATCCCAAATATTTCTTGGTCTCCAAACTTTTATCTGGAAATCTGATTTGTAGAAGAACATCTCAAGTCAGTGAGAACTTCTGACTGTGATAGGTCCATGTCTTAGGAGTATCAGGGAGAGAGATGCTTTAATGTCAAGCTCTCAGGTACTGTAGCAAAAATCCTGTTCGTTTTCAGAGCTAGATTGAAGGTTCTTCTAAGAGTGAATTTTGAACAGTGTGCAAAAATGAAGGCTTAAGCAGACACCAAGCAGTGAAGATACAAATATTTAAAAGCTGCTCATATGAACAGAGTTCACATAAATGAAGCTTATGTTTGGTAGAAAAAAAAAGGCATCAATGTCATTAATGATTACATTACAAGATACATAACGGGAGAACAAGAGGGTGCAAAAATTAAAGATGTTCTGCTAGCTTCAAATCTGTCACATCCTACTTTAGTTTATGTAATTTTGCAACCTTACAAGATTTTTGTTCTAAAGGAAGTTGCATGCAGCATGTTTAGATTTTTTGAGTAAACACCATTCATTCAGTATTCTAAAATCTTCCAATGCAGCAAGACGAATCTGTCAGGAATGATAAAAACAGTCTATGCTGTGCAACTGTAGGCCAATATATTAATTTTTAAATGCATCCTTTAGCATCACCAGATGACAACATGACAAAACTTTTGCATTTTTTATTATAAACCAAGTCTGCTGTATACTAGGATCTTTCTTTTTACTGAAAGGAGCACAGCTTTTTACCTGTTAGATCTCTTGCAAGGAGATGGACTAGACTGTCCCGAGGAGCTAGTACTCAGAGTGCTATCAGGACTGCTGAGAGAACATACGCGGTCAATGTTCAGGGTGTTCTGGCAGGCTTCACAGTCAAGGCTACCTTTACACCTATCACACAAAAAGAATGTGAGCAAACACACCATTTCTCCCACGTTCTTTCCATATACCACTGACTTAGGTGTAATTATGGGATAAAAAGGGGTCAAATATTAGAAAAGGTCCCTCAAATGTAAATTAATATCCAATTTCTTGTTTCGTTTACATCCATAACAGATTTTTTTAACCTTTTCAGAGTTTTTAGAAGCTCTAAATATGCATTTTTTTCAAGTCTACTAAATGGATATATTTTTTACTGAATCAATACTAAACAAGTCAATAAAAGATCTTAATACAACAGTTCAGACTCTTCAAACACCTGACAAAATTCAGATTTAAAATACAAGTTCCTCCAGTTCAGAACCATTACAAGCAAAAATAAAGTTGAACAAACATTAATCTTCTAAGCCCTCATTTAAAATGACACATGCTGCTTTGATAGCTTTGTGAAAGAAAACTTCTTTGGGAGACCACGCTCAGCATCTGCTTTTATACCCAAATGCACGCCTCTTCATACCGTTAGGGAAGTGGTTTTTACTCATATGTATGTAATGTTATCTACTGGATGCTACTGCTAGAATGGTAACTTCAATTATACAAAGCCAGAAGATTGATCTTTAACAAATAAATAGGGTATGACAGTATTACAAAAAAAAAAAGTATGCTTGACCTAAAAGTATTCTGTTTTGACCAAATCTGTTACAAAAGATTAATAAATTGTTTCCTGCTGCAAATGCCTAAGGTACCTAGATTAATGAGGTATATTTTGGAAAGTATTTTTCACTTTCAAATATCTTGCTACAGAGTTAACTTCTTAGTGAAATTTGAGTAGAAGTGCACTGTCTTTTTCTAACTCAGATTCATTAAATATAGTAGCTATGCTAAGACAGCTATATTTAAATAACACCTTAATAAAAGTAAACACTGATTCTTACTCTCTCAGTGAATGTGTGCGTCCTATGTCATCTTCATCTGTGTCACTGCTGATGGTGATCACGCTGACTGCTGGGCTGGGGGAACCGGCAATGAAGATAGCCTGGCGCTGTTTGGTTGAAAGAGATGAATCAGGGTCCAGCCTGACGGATGCTTCACAACAGTTACTTTCCTGTCCTTCTGAGTTATGATTGTCCTGTGCTTCTATACAACTTATTCTCTTTACAGCCTTCAGGTTAAGTATCTTTGGAGATATAAAAGCTGAATTTGGGATATTGGTATTTTGTAACACATTGCTCCTGCAAAGAAAACACACCATTTGACAATTTAGTGAACCTCTAACAACAGACCTGAAAACTGCACTCTTTTCAATAAGAACAAAGAAAGCAATGTAGGCTAAACCACCAATTTTCTAAATTAATACACAGAAAAACATAAAACAGGAAACAGAGTCATAAATACTTGGCATTTATGATTTCAGACATTCATTTAAAAAACCCAGAAACATGCTATTAAGAAGCTACGTTGCCACATCCAAACTAAGTAATATCTAAGACTGAAATCTGCAACAACATTGACTTCAATACATGGAAAATTCCATTTTCTTATAAACAAAAAAAGAAACTAAAATCCCGTCTGAATGAAAAACAAGCTAACAACACCTGGCCAGATTTCCTACTAAGATTCTCCCTGAAAACAAAAGCTGGTAGCCTCTGGATGAAACCCTTACTTAAAACAAGACTGCTGGAATTGCCCTCTGCAACCCACGCGTTCCCCTTTATTGAGCATCCCACACCTTTGCAAATACTTTGTATGGCAGCGTGGCATTTTTTCAGGATACTAAAATATTTTTGGCCACCAGTGAAAGACAGAGTATTCTTAAGATGATTGTAAGGCACGCTGCAACCTTCATTATATAGCATCTCTTTATTTTTAGTTGTCTAAAGCTGATATATCCTCATGCACATAAGCTCAGGAACATCTCATTAGAGCTACCTCAATACATTCTTATCCCTTCCCAAAGGCTATAAAGACAACTTTGCTGTTGTGATAGGCACATACCAATCAACAGGAACTAAAACCTCTTACTACTGCAAGTATTTTTCCATCTAGTTTCTATTACCAAAATAACATTGAAAACTTAGGGTGGAAAGAACAAATTTTCCCAAAAGACCACTTAAGTACAGCTGTTGCTAACAAACATGCCACTTTTACAGGCTGTTCCCCTGCCCATTGAACAGTGACTACAGGTACGCCATCTCTGAACGTCAGAAATATTCCTACCAACCTGTTCCGACACAGTTTGTTCCTCTTGGTAGCTGCAGGCTGAGGCCAGACAACATGTGCAATGCCCACACTAATCGGCTGAGGGGCAGACAAGGTTATCTGATGTGTTAAAAGAGGCTGCGGTATCATTGAATTGTAATGGGTGCCCTGGGTAATCATCTTCCTGAGGAAAAATAAAGGAAGTTTTAAATTGCAAGTCATTTGCATCGCATTGGTAGATCTTGTTAAACCAATGCCATTAAGGTATTGCACAAAAGTACGTGGACTTACCCCCAGTCTCCAAGCCTCTGTGGGCCAGCCACAGGATCAGAGGCCAGAGATGTAGCAGGAGCTGCCACAGGTGCTACTTGCTGCCACGCAGGAACCAGTAATTGCTGGGTCTGATTCGACCATGTCTGTCGTGAAGCAGAGAAGATTTCATGACTCAGAGAACAACTGAACTTGTGTTAGCTGCTTGTAGTTCAGCACAAAACAAAAAAGGGATGGCAATAGAACTCTAAAGGGCAAAAATATTTACCAACTCATCATAAAACAAGGAAGATTTTTACTTTAAAGTAAGCCAACCTGAGAAAGGATTCCTGCTCGAATCTGTAGCGGCTGAATTGCGTGGGCTTGGGTCACCAATGGAACTGCATTATCCACCCTCAGGGAGAAACTGGTGGGTTTACTATGGTTTGTAGGAATTCCTATCAGGGAGAAAAACACATACGCAAGCTTTAGGTGAAACACCAGTCTTGCATATATTTTCTGAGCAAAATGCAAACATAAAGGATAATTTCGTAACATTTTACTACTTTATTCTTGATGTCTTTATGATCTAATTCCATATTTAGACTTTCAAACCAAATAAATCTACACCTAAAAGATTTTTGTGCCATTACGTATCTGCACAAATATTTGATGCTGTAATTTCCAGAAAGAACTGCCAATAGCTACTGTTTGGAAACAGACTACTAGAAAGCGGAAGGACTTTGGCAGAAAGTTCTGCAAAGCTAAGCATTTTACTCTTTATCACAAGTTACGTTAAAAGTATTTGAAAGAAAGCAGACAAAAGTAAGCAGAACTGAATTTCAAAGCTTCTCTCAGCTGACTCTTGCACATCTCATGCTCTGTATTTCCAGCTGGCTGAAACCCATTCCTCTTAGCTCTTACAGCTGGCAACGCCATATGCATAACAGTCCTATTTGTCACCGACTCTTTTGTGGAAAACAATGTAAAATTTTCCGTGTATGCCATGAAGTATTTGCAGCAGAATCCATAATCCTATTCCTCCTTTCATGAACATAATGGAAACTGTAGCACTGTTGGAATATTATCACAAGAGCATAACAGGAAAAAGATGCATCTCATGCTCTGTATAAATTTCACTATTGTCACAGGAAACTAACAGACATATAGCAATGCTACAACGTTTACTACTACTAATCATAATTTTTAAGATAAAAATGTTAAAACAAAATGAAGGAGGAATTTTTTTTTTCAATAGATACTGCGACAGAACAGCTGTGCTAGGAGAAAACATTGGCTAGGCAAATACACTAATTTCATCTTCTAACTGTGCTTTGCGTCTAGTGCTTTAGTCAAAGACTAAGCAACGGGTGTTCGGAGGTAACTGCTAAAGGATTACTAAACTGAAGACTTAAAATGGGGTGGGTTTTAAAAATCTTTACAATAAAGGATGAAAGAAAATCTTCACCCAATGTAATTCTCTCGTATCATACCACAATACTAATTTATAACCATGCAGTTCAAAGCTTTTAATTTTGAAATGCTGTTGACTAATTTTTTCCACACAGCCATCTAGAACAGCAACATCTTAACTCTGCCAGAAGTAGCGAGTTTTAGCACTTCAGATATTTCACAGAGCAGCCAAGCAGGGAAACCTTGAAGCGGTGCCAGATACCATTAATATCCCTGTCCCTCTGTGCCAGCAACTCGTCACCTATGTGATGAAAACAATATATTCCCTTCATTCAAGCTGTAGCAGAGCTCAAATTTGGAAATTTGTCATAGTAACAAGACAGTATACAGATCACTGATAAAAGTATTTGCCTGTACTGCTTCCTTTTCCTATAACTGCTTTATTCACCTGGGTATAATCAAAACAGTAGGGTTTTTAAATTACAGAATATGTCATTGTCTAAAGCATATATACAATTTAAGTAAGAAATTTCTTAGCCATCCGTATGAAGCTATGCATTTAGCTCACATAGCCTCTGACATTGCACAGTGAATACTCAGAGCTTTCATGAGTGTCTGGGACCCAAGACAGATGCAGCAGCTACAAATAACATTACCAATAAAGTCTACTGTATCTGTCTTAATCTAAAGAGATAAAGACTTCCTCAACACTAAATTTAGGTTAAAAGTGTTTTGAATTTTTTTCCCAGAGTGAGTCTAGTGTGATGCCTGTAGCCTCAAACTGCAGAGGGAGAATTAAGAAGGAATTTGAAAGTGGTTCCTAAAAAAATTGTACTTCCTATGAACTCCATCATTTCCAGATCTGATCTCAACATAAAGCTGAACATCACGAAAACATATAAATTGCATCTTTGGAGATGAAGACTATAATCAAGCTAACTTAATAAGCAATATGAACTACTTTTCCTTCTCCATAAATTACTACTACTAGGATAAGAAAGGCTGTTCTTCATCAGCTCCTCTCTGATCAGCCCATTATGAAGAGAAAAAGAAAGTTTTGCTTCATATGTTCTGGGATCTAACTGAAGTTTTAAAGACTCCTCCAAAAAAACTGGACCTACGTTTTCGTGATGCAAATGTATTTGTTTAGGGAAGCAGAGGGCAACTGCATTCCCATGTGTCCCTCTAGAGATCCATATCCTTATTTGGTCATTTTCTACACTGCAGAAATACTTCTGTGCTAGCATTTCCACCTTGAAGTCTTCCAAATGTTTCTGATAACTGAACGCTTGGCCAACTATTTCCTTCCATAAATACAAAATTATATGCTTAAAACAATCTTATCCTTTGTAATACAGGAGAGCTCAGCCAAGCTGATGTTTCCTCCTCACTGCACGATGCAATCAACATTCTCAAAGATTTAGTTACGTGTTTTTCAGCCATCAGAAAACTGCAGCAGTTCCATCTAGCATTATAGCCATAGGACAGTAAATATGACACTATTTACGTGGGCCAGCTACATCCTTAAATGAAGCCCTAAGTTTCCAGATATTTTTTTAAACATTCACTTGGAAGTCTAATAAAAACCCCCAACTTTATTACGCAGACAGATTTATCACAAGAATTGTTGTATTTTCTCATCCTTATCCCTAGCATACCCTAAGGATGCAGGTGGGGAAAAAAAGAACAAACACACCACTACAACAAAACAAAACCAAAAACAACCAACCAAACAAAAAAGCCCAAGCAAACCACCACAACCAAAGCAACAAACAAAAAAACCCAACACAACATCAGAACAAAAGAAGAAAAAACAACACACCACCAAAAAACCCACCACAAAACTAATATTCCCTTCATCTTTCTTGTTTCCTCTCAAATTTTATTTCAGAATATCCTCCTTTTTTGCTTCAGCTTCCACATTGTGTCCCTCCATTTTAACCAAGCTATATATACGTGTATATATACGTGTGAGAGTGTAGTTTATGAAGATGGGCTCTGGATTGCTCACGTCATTTTCTGCAGATGTTTATTTGCTCCTTTTTTTTAGAAAGGTGCAAGGTATCTGGATCTGAATCACATGTTATTTTTTTTATGACGTAAATTAAGTTCTTTTAATTTATAGCTTAAGTGGATACAACGGAAAACTGAAATACTGCTAACAGACAGACAGTAACGCTCATATTTTAGGAACTGCAACAACTACAGTTAAACATACCTTGAATAGTTGGAGGACATATAATCAATGCCTGTTGGAAAACATCACTGCAACCAAACTGCGCGGTTCCTGCCTGCAGCGGTATCCCTTGGTGCAAAACGGAATGGGCCGATGCAGTTAATGCCTATGGGAACAGATTCGACACAGGCAACATAACTGTGAATCTCTCTCTCTCGCACACTTGTCTCACCAACTTGTATAATAAACAACTAAAATAACTTACAAAAATTAAAATGTCAAATACATTTCACAGGCAGCAATCCCGTTTGGCCACGGGAGGGCACTGCAATACAGCGCTGCTTTGCAAGGGCAACCCCAGTTCCTCACTTTACTTGGAAAACATCCCAAATTCTAAATGGTTTGTTAGTTAAGAAAACACTAGGAAAAAATGAGAGTAAAAGAAGATTTTTGTCACTCACCAGATGTACTTTCGTCAATTACGAAATTAATTAGAGAAACTGCATTAACTGATTTTTTTTAAAAAAAAAAAAAAAAAAAGAAGGAAATAAAAGTTTTTACCTGACTTCTTACTGGACCAATTTTGGTAAAGCTCGCAGTCAGATTAGCTGCACTGCCTGAGGCAACTGGTCTCATAAGTGATGTTTTATTGCGATTACTTAAGTCATACAAATTTGATCTGCATTTGCAAACATCCATGATATGAAAACAGGACTTCACTCTATTGAAACCAGAAAATAAGCTGTTTTATTTAGAATTTCATGTTGTTAAATGTATAAAACAATTCCCCAGAACAAGAGAAAAAAAATACTTCAAACTCCATAGTTCCCTGTTTCACAGAATGGCATCATACACAGAAGTAGAAAAAAGAAATACTGCTATTACTATACTCACGTGAAACCTTTGTAAAACATTTTTTAAAAATCAAGAAAAACATTGCTGTTTCCTGCTCCTTGTATCTAACACCATTTTCTAACAACTGTGTACAAGCAGGAAGGATAGTAAACTTAAATGGACGGAAAGCTCTTTCTTTCAGCAAAATGCTTGCACTTTAGGAAATCCACAGTGAAATACACAATTCCAGAAGCACAAGAAATCTTTTGATATATTCCATATTAATCAATGCATAAAAGAAGGTATCCGAGATGTTTGTCTCAAGAGGAAATGCCTACCCTAGCTCTCAATGATTGACAGGGACTAAGGCTCTTCATACTTCCAAAAATCAAGCCCGAGTTTGAGTGTTGGAATTTTATCAACCAGGCATATAAATGATAACTTAGAAACCCTATGGCTCTAAATATTACTTTCCAGAAAAAATTATAGTTATTCAAACAGTTTCCTTGACCAAGCAGATGTGCCTAATATTGCAAGCACTTGAAAGAATTCTCTAAGACGCTAAAAAAATGACTTCCCTCTCTGATAATGGATGAAACAACACTATTATATATATGAATTGCTACAACAGAGATTTAAAAAAATATATTTTGTGTGTGTTACATACTGGTTGCTATGAGGAAAATCAAGGAGGTGCTTCATGGTGACAAAAGAATGGTTCAGGGTCTCAGCTGGAGTGATTCTTAAATCAGCGTCGATCAGCAACATTTTCTTCAACAGACTGACAAATTCCCTCCTATCTGCCTTCTCTGCCAACAGGTCACTTCCTTCCAAATCCATCACCATGTTCACCTGGCATTGAACAAAACAGTCAGTTAGAAGGCACGTATATTGGCTTAATTCTTTCTGTTACTGTTTTCTGCTGTGAAATACTAATATTCAATGATTTTTATCACGTGGGGCATGGTGAATTTGCTAGCTTATCCCAATAGGGTTGGCTTGGAATTGGTGACTTTTTTCTACTCCCCTTGCACTCTCCCCAGCTAAAAACCCTGAAGGCTTTATTCCAGTCTGGCACTTGGAATTTAAAAAGTAAGATTTGGGAAAAAGACCTTTATATGGTCTAACTTAAACTACAGAGGTAGTCTTGAAAAAAAGAATTTTGAACATGTATTAATATCAATCTTGCAAAAACATATTGTTCTCTTTTCAGGATATGGAACAAAATGAAAAATTTTCTTTTGTTATTGATTAGAGAGTTAAAAAGCTAAGGAAAAGTGTGGAAAAGTTTCTTTAAAAAAGGAAAAAATATTATATTGAGTTATATTGTTAAGATAGTAGAATTATACTGGAGATTCTATAGTTAAGATAGCAGGATCCACATGCATTCTTTTTTTACCCTGAACAGCGGGTAAGGTAGAAGAGAAAGAATACATTACACATAAAATTAAAGGGCTCTCCTCACCACATGGACAAGTACCACTGTTTAACACAAGCAATGACAAAGGAAGATTTTATAAAAAGCCCAAAGGGCTGACATAGCTAGACATTTTCCTCAGAGCAACATATACAGAGAATTTATTGTATATCAATCATATCCATTATAATATTCTAAATAATATTTCGAGCTAGTAAAACGTTTTAAAATCACACATTCCTTTTGCAAAGGAAGAATGCTTTAATACTTACATGCACTATATCATCCAAACTGTTGAAAATATACTTTCTGGCTTCTTTAGATTTCATACCTGTCTCTGCCTCATGCTCTTCCAATGTCTCAAAAAAGAAAAGGAAAGTCAAGTTTAGAAGCTAACAGTAAGGGACACTTACAGCTACAAAGTAACTTTATATATTTATTGGCCTAATAAACCTGGTTTTTTTTTAATAATTAATATTTCAACTGTATAGTTGTATGCTGCTTTGCTGATTACTTTCTTTTTCTAAAATGAAATGCGAACTACAGAATTTCATGTCTGAGTGATCACAGTACTGGAGTACAATAGATGGTTTGTAAATCACACAGGAAGAGTCCAAAGCCCAGCAAAACATTGTTTACTGAAATTCTTTCATGTGCTTGTATTTTTATATATCACAGGTTTTCTATTACTTGTATTTTACACATTTCCTCAAACTTGGACTTTTAACTCCAAACAGCAGCAACATCACACCACTGTAAAAACCAAAACTCAAGTAGGTTCTGCTCAATTTCTCTTTGAGTTCTCTTCTGTTATTTTTATACTTTTACCCCTGTACACACACAACAGCAGATGTAAGTATTTTAAATACTGAAGTATGAAACAAACAATTAAATCCCAGAGAATGAATGCCATCACCTATCAGCGATTTATGAGCTGGAGTACCACTTTCTGTTACAATTTTCCTCCTTCAACACAGACAGCACCAGGAGGCAGGTTTTAAGAGTCCATGTTGCAGGAGGCAAGGCAGAACTGCAGGGAAAATTTTTATCACACAGATTACAGAAAACTTTCCAAAATTTCCGAAATTCACTTTGACAAAAACTGTGCATAATGACCAATGGTCCATACCAAAACTCCTTTCTTCTTCCAAAACAGCACCCAGTCTGCTGCAAGAGATTTAACCTCTGAAAGTAACAGCTTCTGAAAATGGGGAGTGCTGTTTGCATCAAGAACTTGTTTAGGTTCTCTGATATGGAAAAGACAGATTTAAGTTGTCACCTACTGATCAACTGCCCCCCCAAAAAACCCAGAAAACTAGAATAATCAGGACAGTGTAATTGGAGAATCCTTACATAAGGTGATTGAGCAGCGTTACAGTGGGGCAGTAGTGGCCCCGGCCGTTTGGCTCAACACACGCCGGGGATTTATCAAGTTACTGCGGAGAGTTACGCAACTTGTGCTTTGAGCTCCTCAGCTGTTTGTTACTGCTGAAGTTTTATGTCAACTGTAACTGTTTCCTGACTCCTCCAGTCTTCCGCAAATTCAGTGAAGCAGCGCCATGAAGTAGTACAATTCAAAAAAATAAATATTTGCACAGGAAGCTAAAGCTCTGCTTATGGTCGTTGTGCAATAACATTGCTTAGAGAGAAGAAAGGTGTGCAGACCATAAGACTACTTTTTTTTTTTCCATTTAACCTGTTTTTATTGTATTGAAGCTTTCAGTTAACAAAGACTCTTTTAGCAGGAGATCTGAAGGAAATAGCTGTAGACAGTCATATTGTGTCTTAATCCTCTTTCTCCTAGAAAGTTCTGGTCCTGAAACTAGTTTTGAACAAATTTTGACAGAGCACTTTGGGCCTCAGAGACAAATTCTTTAAAGAGAAGTGAAAAGCAGCAACCGAGTAAGAGGAAAGAAACCTCATCATTTAGTACCTCTGGAGATACAAGGCTTAATTTGAATCCGACGCTGCCTCTCCACCTGGCAGCGGTGCGCTGGCCACCCGGCCACCACACAGCCTGGCACTTGCACCACATCTGCCTCTGGGCCAGTCGGTGTGGAGGGAACGTGGGCATGGGCAGAGCACTGGTTTTGGGAAACGGGAAAAACGGAAGTGATCCAGAGCGAGGGCTGATAAAAAACACAGGAGATGTGGAAGGGAGCTAACAATATCCTAGTGAATCACGGCCTCTCTGGCTTTGCTGCTCACAAAATAATATACTGTTTCCTACTATATTATACTGTTTACCTTTAATCTCCAACTAGAATATGGTGCATCCGTTTCTCTACAGAAAAATCTTGCAGTTTTCGTTCCCATGCTTAACAACTGCTCTCCTGGTAAACCTTGAGTCTGCGAAATGTAACGAATCTGAGGAAAGGAAGAAAAAAAAAAAGGAAATAATTTACCTCTGATTTTCAAAATCTCATCCACGTGGTTAAAAACTTTCCATTTCATTTAAAAAAAAAAAAAGGCAAAATGAAGCACCCTCAGAGCACTGTAGTAGCACTGTAGTTCGATAACGACATCTTGCACAGGGGAGAAACCTAACACTGAGCGCTTGATACCACTCTGCCCACCTCTCAGAGAAAGCCATACATAAATAAACCTCTGAAGTGACCTACATAAGCAAGCTTTTAAAGTTTGGTCACAGAAATGAGGAGCTGGAGAGAGTGGCTGTCATTACCTCCTCAACTCATTCAAATCCTAAATGTAATATTTCCATTCTAAACAGGAAAATTAGTAAGAGTGCTTTGCTGTGTACAGAAGTTTGATGATTTTTTTTTTTTGCATACTCTCATTATACAACGCTATAAAAATCCTTGCCGTTTGCTGTGTCCAGTGTATCAGCCTTTTACACATCTGACACATCTGTATTTCAAGCTTTGGAAAGAGTGTACAATCTGTAGGCATCCAGCAAAAGATACTGTCCTTGTCTCAGAAAATTGGCTATTGAATGCGATGGGAATGGACTAGCTTTATGCTTGAAAAGGTCAGATGCTCTTTTCCACTGAAACTATTACCATGCATTTATTGTAGAAGATAATTTAACTCTGCATTTTTCATTACCTTTCTTATAGTCGATGATACAAAGTATTACCTAAACTAGTTAAGATTCAAGGCTTCAACAGAAATCTGTTGAAACAACACGTTCTCATGTGCTTTTAATTACTGTGCATGCAATGTTAATTCACTGTACAAGGGGGAGGAGCTATTCCTGAAGCAATACTACTTCAAAAATTAAAAAACCACCTTCAAGAAAGATGAATTGGAAGAATAATTGCCAATAATTGAAAACTGAGCTTGCTGCAGGTCGGGATGGAGGGAGCACAGATTCCAGCAGCCAGTGCTGAAGGTCTGATGGGAGTGAGTGCTGAAGGGTGTTGGGCAGGATCCCAGGCCACACAGAGGGGGTGCTGATGGGGGCCAGCCTCTGGAAAAGGTGGAGCAGCCGAGCAATAAGAAAGAATGGGGAAAAAAAAGGAAAGAAAGGAAAAAAATTAAAAGGAGAGAGCGGTGAAATACACCAAACCAGAAACTGGAAGATAAGATGAATTTAATGAAAGACAGAGGACTTGAGAGCTAAGAGCACCCGAGAAGAGAAAAACTGATGGGCAGGTGAGAGGAAAGATAGACAGAAGGCTCTGGGTGAAACGTAAGTGATGGATCGAAGTGGGAAGGAACTAAATGCAATGCTGCCAACTTTTAGTATTTGGTATCTTCCATAATTCACTACATCAGGGAGTAAAGAGAATCTCAGTCTGACCAGAACTGTTTCTAGATAATTTAGTTTTTCTAAGCATATTCTAAAGTCTTACAAATTGGGAGGGAGAGAGGAAGACAATGCATTTATTCAAAAATTTAGCAGTTAAGCAACTGTGCTTGTTTTAATGAGTGTTAAAGCTCAGAAGACACGGCTATTTTCCACTGAGAAGTACAGCTGTTACTGGATATAATCACAAATGAATATAACAACTAAGAGGTTCCTTTCAAGGGCTAGCGTGTTGGCTGTCACATGCCAGGGGGACAGGGGGAAATGCAGCACAAAAGCCTTGCCTGTTCAATTACTTGGTGACACATACAATGTGGCAGGAGGAAAGGAATTTCCTTGGGGCTCATCTCCTACAACTGCTGTACTCATTTACACTGAGGAAAACCCTGAATTAAATATCTCTGAAGCAAGTTTTGCAGACCCGCTTGAGCGCAAT